TATCGACCTCTTTTCTCGTTTTGCCGCTTTCTTTCTGCGTTTGGGTGAGAGAGGAGAGGGCGTTTGACTCGGTGGGTTTGCTTGAGAGTTGTTGGACGCTGTCGGGCCTGCGACGCTGTGTCTCCTGTGAAGCAACTCAACTCAACCATAGTCCGAACTCAAGTGAGATATTAGAGAGATCTAGGTGAATAATTCAGGGGGTTCTCAACCTTCTCTGCAATGCCTCATGTCTTAGCCACGGCCAATTCTCGCGGAGCCAAGGAGTCAGGGTTGACACACGCGGCTCTCACGCAACTCAACCCAAAACTCAGAAACCAATGCTAACAAAACATCACCCCTCCATAGTCCTCGAAATCGGCGTCTACGTAGGCTACTCCGGCATGGTCTGGTCCCACGCCGTAGGCCCAGAAGGCACCGTCACCGGCCTCGAGTTCAGCGCAGACTACGCAAAGCAAGCCGAGGAGGCCTGGGCCGCCAACGGCATCAAGAACGCGTCCGTCATTGTCGGCGACGCTCTGGAGACGTGAGATTCCCTTCCAAGGCTCGAATTACTACTCTTTTGGCCCCTCTAGTGCCACCAAACCTTCGTCGGATAAGAACGAAGAAGATGGGTAGCATTAAAGGGGCTGTGAGAGACCACCTCCATCCACCTAACTAACACTCAAAATCAGCCTACCAACCCTAAACCCCTCAGAACCCTACGACCTAATCTTCATCGACGCCCAAAAATCAGGATACCCATCCTACCTATCCACCATCCTCGCCGCATCGCAGAAAGACGGCAAGAACCGTCTCCTTCGTGCGGGCGGCCTCATCGTCGCGGACAACGTCCTCCGCCGCGGTATCGTCGCCGACGACTCGGACGAGAACCCGTGGGTGCAGCGCGAGAAGGGCGAACGCGCAGCGTACTGGAAATCCGAGGACGTGGATAAGCTGCGCGAGTTCAACAGCGCCGTGCATGATGAGCCGAGGCTGGATTCTTGGCTGATGCCGTTGTATGATGGTGTTCACCTTGCTAGGTTGGTTGATTAGGTGTGATGCGAGATGTTGCGAAGAAATAAACAGGGGACAATGGAGATTGGAAAGGGAAAATGATGTTGCGGACTTTAGAGTAGATGTGTAGAAATGAAGATACGATTATGAAATTATGAGACTTTCGTTTGCCACCTTTTCTAGGCAAATCTCGGCGGCATTTGGCATGTAAATCAATTGATAGATCAAGGTATGTCCAGAACTAGCACGTATTGATTCTGGAGATTTATGAACCAACCAATCCAGACGTCACAACCTAATGCACGATCTCTCTGCTTGATCTCCATGATTTGCTTCTCTCTTAAAGACTTGCTTCACTTGGGTCAAATTGCTATTCCTTTGTTAATCGGAAGCCTATAAGGTTGCCGCTCAACCCTCTTCGTGCAAGCACAAAAGCCTCCCTTTCGAATAACCAAGGCTGGGCCATACCGAGCCGCTCGACAAGCTGATATTTCTTTCATCGGAACAAAGACTCTCTCCTAAAAGCGAGTATGTTGAAGATTGCCTATCTGTCCACCTCTTCCTGGAACTAGAGTAAGGCTCGCGTATCAGAGCCAGAGGCGCATGGAAAGAATACTGGTATTCGAAATTACCTCCTAAGTAGAACACTCAACTCCTTTTGTGAGGTTAGTCTTGAGATGCTTGAGGTGGGTGTATATATAATTATAGCTTACATATGCTTGAAGCCAGTCGACTTCCAACACAGAAAGGGAGACATCCAAGCGCGAAATGAGCAACTTGTTCAAAATGAAGAGTCTTCATTGTCCTCCTTAGTCCCCTCCGTACACACTCAGCCAGTTTCTTTCTCTCGTCAACATCAGAGCCATTGTGTTTATTCGAACAAAGTAAACTTCAACTTTCAAAAACACATATCACAAAGATCTACGGATGCCATGTTCACGAGAAGCATGTCTGCATTTCCCCTTCGCGGGGTCTATATCACAAGACTTCCCTCCAAGCCCCAACTATCAAGAGACGGAAAAGAGGGACAAGACAACAAAAGCTCACCCATTCTTCAAAGACTTCGAAAACCCCCAAGCTTGATAACACTATAGAGCAATTGACACACATCACCAACCTCAACTCGAACCAGTCCACCTCCTGATCGAATCTGACGATATACCAAGGTAAGCCAACATCCTCGCCACTCAACACAACCCAACCATCAAGGGAAACACCGCAGTACAGAATCATCTCACAAAATGTGCCTCGCAGAAAACGTCTACCACGTCGCCTGCGGCTGCTGGCAGGGCCACCACATAACTCACCCATGCTACAAACAAGCATCCACCTCTCGCTCTTGCTCCCTCAACGGCTCGTCGCGGGGTGACAAAGAATGCCCAGACCTTTCATGCTCCGGCGTCTTCCGCCAACCGGGCAAGTGCCTCGTCTGCCGCCGCCGCGAAGCCCAGCAGCAGAGCGTGTTTCCGCTTCCGATTCCGCCGCCTACGCCCCCGCCCTCGCCGTCTCCTCCGCCGCAGCCATCGCACACTCGTGCAGCGAGGCGAGGTGACGACGAGGAGAGGGATGAAGACGAAGATGAGAGCCAGAGAGTGAGAGTTGCGCTCCTAGCCGAAGTCCTTCGCCGGGCCGTTGACGTCCGCGGCGACGGAGTTGGCAATTCCTTTCGGTCCGGATCTGATACGGCGAGTAGAACGCATTCCCTAGATAACCGTGATGATAATACTAGCCCCGGGTCTCTGACGTCGGACACTGCTGACGGAGGGACTTGTTCCATCAAGGGCTCGGAGCAGACTTTCAAGACAAAGAGTACTGCGTGGCATCAGCATTGACAATATTGTGCGCCAAGCAGTCCCCCAGGAAGTTGTTTTCCAAGAAAAATGTCCTTTTCTTGCCATGCCTCTCTCGAGAACGCCTTGTTCTCCGAACGAGTGGGATCTCGGCCTTGCTACGCCCGAAATCACCAGCGTAAATCGAGTAAGTTACACCAACAAGTTGTGATATCGCCGGAAACAACGGTAAGGGAAGCTCTCTTCTCAAGCCGCCGCAAAAGGGAAAAAAAGCAGCAACCCACACGTAGCAGCAGCTTCCAAAAGTAACATAACACGTGTGATACCATAACCGCGAAGATCGTCCACGCCCTTGTCCTCGGCAGCAGCAAGCCCACTCTCATCTGCTCTGCCTTACATACCAGAGCCACCTATCCTCAACCCTTCAGCAGTGGACTTCTGCTGGCTGGCTGGCCCCCGCCTGACACGACAGCGGATCAAGGCATCGCGGTCGTTGGTGTGTTTCGGCGAAGGGGCCAGCTCAAAATCAACGACTCGCCGCACAAGCTCATTTGGGCGGGCATCGTTCTCCTTACACTTCGGTTTTCAGTCTAATGCAATAGAGGCAATGACTTTAGCGTCTTCCTGCTCTTCTCACTCCATAGCCGCAGGGTCCTAGGCAGGGAAGAAAAGAGCAAGGGGGCGAGGAGCCGGGGAATCGAGGGCCACGACATAAGACGGCTCGTCACTCTTTCTTACATGGTTTCAGGCAGGTACAGGGTGAAGGACCAGGACCCCGGGGGTAGAGGAAGGAAAAGAAGACCGAAGAATACTGCTTCTAGAGTTTTCCGTATTACCTCGTTAACACGTGAAGCGATCGAGCCTGAACAGGAGATGATAGATCCTGAAATGTACTCCGTACTTCTTTGATGTAAGATTCCATAAAGGGAGATCGTGTTTGCCCAAACTCTACCCAGTTACTTCTGCCTAACAACCCGGGCACGATCGTTGTTCAATATTGAGAGCTCGAGCCAATAAATGCGGTTTGCACTAGTTGCGTCAAATGTAATAGATTGAAGGACCAGGTTGACTAGCTGCCGGCGCCGCACGTATCGAGAAAGGGTCCCAGATACAGAGCATGGATTTCAAGCAATACCGTACAGTAAACCGTGCGAACGCAATGGCAAGCCAGAATCATCAACCGCGAGTAAAGAGGACTGGGTGCTGCTGTTAACATATTGGCGTAATTGGGAACGATAAATCTAGGAGGGCCGGATCTGTCACTGTAGATCAAAGCGACTGGGGCGAGCTCGGTCATCGTCAGCCTGTGTGCTCAAGCTCCATATGCCAGGCAAGCAGTCAACAAACGATGCTGTATTATCACGATCCTTTGTTTGATAGTTCTAGCGCAGCACTGGCGTTCGAGCTTAGTATGGGAGCTGCGAGCACAACACGCTGTGCTTTGCTTGTGTGAAAGCTTGCTGGTGCTGAGGCTTTCGACTGGGCGTAGGGGTATCTGGGGTAGTTTGACGACGGAGCCTCGGTACCAAGTACTGAAGTCGAGGACACAAATCAGGTGACATAAGCTTTGATGGTTTCTCGAAGATGATGCGTGCCCTCGCAGTCAAAGATGGGTACTTGCGATTACACAAAATGGAGGCCGCGTGTGTTACCCTCGTTACTCGAACCACTTGTCAGAGTGAGAGGGCATGGAACAAAGACTCGCCAAGAGGCTTATTACTGGTTGTACCGGCCAGATCTTATCCGAAAGAAACGGCAGCTGATTGGGTGTAGGAGCGGAAGCCAAGTATCGTCATCCCGCCGAGTCTTTGTTTTCCATCTAATTTGTTTGCCTGGCCTCAGGAACTCATCTCCTTGTTGCCAACTCTACCAGATGTTAGAGTTTTTGACGGTCGCACAGTATCAGGTCATGGCCGAAGAGCAATGGCCATCGAGGGATCCTCGTCTCTCGCTGGAGAATTCCACCACTCTAACGCACGCGAAAACATGGTTATCGTGCATTGAGACGTCAAGTCGCTTGCCGGCTGGGTCGGGATGGCGTTTGCAAACGAACCGACCGATGATAGCTTGGGGAGCTCGCTTCCGTTTGCAGCGCCCACAACACGCCGTTGGCTGATGACGAAGCAGGCGCGGAATGGAGGCCGGATGCCCGTGACACACTTGAGTGTAGTTGTGAAGTACGGCCTGCCGGTTTAGCTAGGGATCAGACGGGACACCATGTTGAGTAGTACAACCCTTGCGAAGACCAAATCCTCAGCTAGGTCGATATATGCGTGTTTGCCTCTGCTGATGCTTACATGCGCTGTAGCAAACGCCTTTTCTCAACTGCTGAGGTCTTCCGATCAACAAACGCAGACTGCCTGGGATGCCGCGCCGACGTTGATAGCTTCCAGTACCGAAAGCTCGATAATGGTGCTGCCACTGGCTTCTGCCCGATGCAGATCGCCATGAAGGATAATGGCAAGCCCACACCCTCCAACCCTTAGCCTACCCACCACTAGATGCCTTCACCGGCGAGACATTAACCAAATATTTCACAGGCTGAGTCGATCCTCTGTCGCTCATCCGCGGTCTTTCCATTCCGCCGGCCCTAGGGAACTCTGTCGCAAACAAGCAGCGAGCTTCTGCAAGCTAGTTGGCTGAACAGAACCGCCCAACTCCAAGGCCCCAGGTCCACAGCCAGCCTTATTTCATCCCGAAGAAGTTAACGTCCGCGGCGTGCGACAGCGACGTGGATGCATGGTACGAGGCGGGAAAAAATAGCCGTAGCTGCTTAACCCGCTCTTGGAGATTTTGTTGTTGCAGCACGGCATCACAGTGTTTGCTCCAACCCAAATATCATCAGAGGGAATATTGTTAAATTCTTGCCAGCCAAAGGACGGGTGCCAGACAACTTTTCCGAAGACATGCGCTATGCATCATATTAGCTACGGTCTCGTAACTTGAACATGAAGCAGGAGGCTTATCGACCAAACAACGGCATACCGTACGAGGTCCATGAGGTGTTCTGAAGTTCCGTCGTAGGCAGATTGGTTTGCCAAGAGCCAGTAAAGAACACCAAAGAGGCGCTCATTGATCCATCGACTGTCGCGACGGAACGGCAGGCCGGCGATCTATCGACTCGTGAGAGCTGACGACCGGGCATACATACACCCTTACGCCTCCGACGCAGATAGCCGGGCACCGTCTCTATGGAGGACGGTCTTTTGAAGAAGGATCGCCAAATGATACGGCGGATGTTGCGCCTCTTTGTGGTCCAGGCGCAGCCTAGCAGCTCGGGACAAGGCCCGGTGGCTTTTGGGCTGGTCATTATTTGGGCATCTGCCAACTACGGATCCATAGCAGTGTGCAGGCTAAGCTGAGACCATCGGGCTAGCAAAGCCCCGTATCTCGCGGACGTAGCATATCGTCGTCTCTTTGACAAGGCGCTTGGTGGTTAGAGCCCCAAGTTTAATGAACTACGACGTTCTACTAAACCTGGGGGTTCAGCTGGCACCACCTTTTGCCCCGCTAATTGATTCGATCAGACGCAACTTGGGGGGATTTTTGGGGTAGTGTACACTACGCCAGCAGATTGATTGCTCTGGCTCCAGTAGGTGGAGAGTGTAGAAATGGAGAGTCTCGGAGTATCATCGTGTACTACTGTGACTGGCCGAGGTGTTATCGCTTTGGAGTGTCTGGACGCTCAAATGTGGGATTGTTTCCGAGCATTGCGTCAACCTAAGGGTCACAGTGTGTGATGTGCAGTAATTCTGCTCCTCAATGACTGTCATCGGTTCGCGCTTCATCGGCGTGATCGTTGGCATCTCAGATTGACGAATGTCAGTCGTCCTCTGGCCCCTTGTCTGTGCGAGAAGGTAATGGTGCGTCCATTGGGAATTGCGACTTTGGCATCCAGAGTGGGCCGTGGTAACGATTTCCAGTGCTGGAGCGTCGAGATTGACTCGACTCTTTGACAATTAAACCCCGATGTCGGTAACGTAGCTTGTAGCTCGGACGTGAAGAAACCATCAGTAGCGCGCCGATGCTGGGTTATTCGTCCCATCATCATCTGGCATGATAAAAGTCAAGCATTTGTGCGCGCTGCGTGCCGCGTGCGATCAGCTCTCGACAATAGAAAGTGGAGAGGCAGCTGAGAGAACTGGGTCTCTGTTTGCTCATGCAACGGCCGCGGGAGTTTCATCCTCGCGTTGACTCTTGAGTCTTGGCTTTCACCTGATATTTGATTGAGAGGTCTGAGAACTGTGACCCCGTTTGGAATGCGCGACAACCCGGCTCTGTCCGCTCGTTTCGTTTCGTCGCTCCGGCAAGTCTTGCTGGCGGGCTGCACGTTGGCGGGGCTATTCTTGATGTAACCGATGCTGACAGGATCATGGAAAGAGTTGTTTCCGTGGACTCGTCTCGAAGTCCACCAGCATGAGCAGCCAAAAGGGCCGGATTTCTGGAAAGACATGCTGATAGGGCCGCAGAGGTGCAGGAGAGTCTGGAGAGGGCCATTGAAAACGCTTCAAGCAGGCTGGAGACCACTTAGCAGAAGGACGATGGCACGTCGCAGACTGCGAGACGATGTGACGGTTGCACTGTATGTGTCGAAAGCCGTGTACATGAGCAACGTGATGCAAGATCTGGGCTTGCTGACCGAGTTTGTATCCCCGCCATCGCAGAGGCAGACCGGTATGGTGGAAACCAAGGAGGATTGCGTGCGGTAGCTAATCTGAGGTTTAGGTAGATGAGTTGTTTCTTTTTCCTGCCTGCCGCAGAGAGACCCGGCCGAAGAGTGGGCTTTGTGGCTTGATGTACATGCTCGCGCACGAGTAAGAAAGAAAATGCAACACTCTCAATCTTGCTTCTGCAGTGTCAACACCAGAAAGAAGAAACGAGTCATTCCGCCAGATGGCCTGATGAATGCCATGGAGATCATTGATGAGAGGGGCTTCAAGATGCAGGCAGAAGCCAAGAGGGAAGTAAGCTGGTACGCCACGACAAGCCGTTATGCTATGCGAGACGATTGAAGCAGAGTTGCAGACGATGATGTCTCGGGATGTTGAATCTTGAGAGTGATGGCTGCCGCGTCGGTTGAGGAACGACACGGCTACACTAAGGCGTGTTGACACTGGTGCTGGGAACAAGAGGAATGTGACGCCTCGTGTTGTCCTTTGATACTGATCGAAGTAATATCCGCCCAACGTATGGTCATTTCAGCTTTTGGAACCAATAACGGAAGGAACCATCGCTGGCGATGGCTTCGTCTCTTTGTCGCTAACCGCGGGGAAGATGAATTGGTGGTGCAACGTGAGGTTGGCACAAAGTATACTGTGTAAGTCCGACCGTGAATCTCCGTATTTGGCACTGTTCTGCACCAGGATGCGTCGCGTGTGGAAGTGGATCTCTCCACCTGTCGGTGGGAACCTCTTTCCTGGACTCATGATCGCTGCGACTGATACGACCCTCTGCGGACACTCAAGTTGGTGATGTTGTGTTTGTTTGACTGACGTTGAACAGGCAAGACGAGACCCAGGACAAGACTATCGAATTGAAGTCTATTGGATGCCGGCATGATGTGTAAATCGGACCCAAAGGTCTGGCGCGATTTTCGACCGAGAAGCTCCCGTTTGATGGGGATATATACGTATAGCTACGAGTATCCGTACAACTGGGTACCTGACTTTGTCGTAAAAGGCAGACCACGATCACGACCCCGACGGTCTAGACGGAAGACGAGGATGTTGCACGGCAGGCGGCAGCAGGGGAGTAGGGCCAAGACTCAAGAGCGAGAAAGAGACAGGGTTCAGGGTCAGGGTCCCTTTGCGTCTAATTAACTGAGAAACCATAAGAACCCACTCTGTTTGCGACCTTGCATCTATATCCCTGCAACAGCAGACCAGCACGATGTGAGCTCATTTTCTACCGATTCGTCCGGCTCTTCGCAGTCGGAGACTTTTTTTTTTACCCTTTGCCCCCTTCCCTTTCTCTCATCTCAACGTGGACTTACCTTGCCCCTTTCCGCAAGGTAGTTGGTTCAATGTCGCTCTCGCTAGGACGATTTTGACCGTGGGCTCCGTATCCGCACGAACAAGCTAGGCATGCGCGCATATTGGTGTGAAGGCTTCGAAGGGTAAACCTCGCAGAGGATTCACCGTAGTCAGTAGTATCTGGCATCGTTTCGAGACAGGAACCCCGATGCCCGTCTGGCAATGGTTGTTTCGTCGACGACGGGTCACCGGTCCATATCTCATCTACCAGGAACATCAAAAAAGGGGCCAACACGGGGGGGGGGGGGGTGCTTGATTGCCTGGGCAGGGACCCGGGGTTGACGAATCCATCAAGTATTTTCGATAATCGCAGACTTGTTGCACAACAAGAGGCGCAGGCAAATTTGAATCTGGCTAGGACGAAAATGATACAACATAGACAGATTGCCGGCCAAGAGAGATGCATTTCATTTACCTGTTCGGATCAGAGCCTCTTTTATCGTGGTTTACACGGACATATACGGATAGATATTTGGCCTTTGACTTTCGCATCTGAGTACATAAATCATGACGCGTGCCAGCTACCCCAGTCTTGTGCAGGTCCCAGGGTCCTCTTTTCGCCGGGAAGTCTTGGATGGAAACTCTTCCAGGCTTCCTCCTGTCATCCATTGATTCCATTTCTTCCTCCACACTGCAAGGGGCTCGACAGTGGGCAATGAGCAGATGTCACCGAAACCATCCCATCATGCTGGAGACAACGACCGCGACGAGACCTTTCTTGGAGACGCGTGACGCTAGTCCCGTCTTGGTTCCCTCCCGCTGACGTCTCTGAGCCTCGCAGTGAGACACACGGTAGTAGAGAATCGAGAACGCGAGTGGGTGCTTTACAACCTGTTGTAACCGTTCTTGAAGTTTTGTCTTGAGCGCGTTCTGTCTGTCCTGACTTGAGAGAGAAGGTTGGAGGTCTGAAAGATGTTTGCACTTTCCACCTGCCCAAGATTGTCGAGGCAAAGCAAAGCAAGACAGGACGGGAAGGTTCCGTGAGGTGTCATGTACCTTACCTGACGTACTTTTGTACTTGCCCCGAGCTTTGAACAGTGAAGAGGCACCTGCGGCGGGTTGTCACTTCCCGGATAAGGTACTTTAGGTAAGGTACCTTGGGCTTTTGACGCTTCGTCTTCACCTTCTTTTCCATGAGTCCTTCCTTTGCAGCATTCTGCCCCACCATCCCAAACATTTGACCATCGTCCGAAAGCAATTGGGTCCCTTGGGGAGAGGGACCACGCTGCACACCGCACGGGGAAGGGAAGGACGGCTCGCTCGCTCGCTTTTTGCACCCCTGGACTTTGCATGCATGCATGCATATACCTTAGCCCGTACCTGACCACCCGAGGAACACAGCACATTCGGCTTGCCTCAGATGCTTGGTACCTGAATGGTGGGCATCTTTCCTCTCGTGCTCAGATGCATTGGATCATCCATCGCCCGCATCTAGACACCTCAGGGACGGAACC